TCTGGGAGTTGGTGATGGACAGGGAGGCCTGGCGTGCTGTGATTGATGGAGTCACAGGAGTCGGACATGACTGAGCAACTAAACTGAACTGAACTGAAGATCATGGCATCTGGTCCCATCACTTCATGGGAAATAGATGAGGAAACAGTGGAAGCAGTGTCAGACTTTATTTTTTGGGGGGGGCTCCAAAATCACTGCAGATGGTGATTGCAGCCATAAAATTAAAAGACACTTACTCCTTGGAAGAAAAGTTATGACCAACCTAGATCGCATATTAAAAAGCAGAGACATGACTCTGCCAACAAAGGTCTGTCTAGTCAAGGCTATGGTTTTTCCAGTGTTCATGTAGATGTGAGAGTTGCACTATAAAGAAAGCTGAGCACTGAAAAATTGATGCTTTTGAACTGTGGTGTTGGAGAAGACTCTTGAGAGTCCCTTGGACTGCAAGGAGATCAAACCAGTCCATTCTAAAGGAAATCAGTCCTGAATATTCATTGGAAGAACTGATGTTGAAGCTGAAGCTCCAATACTTTGGCCACCTGATGCAAAGAACTGACTCAGTGGAAAAGAATCTGATGCTGGGAAAGATTGAAGGCAGGAGGAGAAGGGGAGGATGACAGAGGATGAGATGGTTGGATGGCATCGCTGACTTGATGGACATGAGTTTGAGGAAGATCCAGGAGTTGGTGATGGACAGGGAGGCCTAGAGTGCTGCAGTCCATAGGGTTGCAAAGATTCGGACACCACTGAGGGGCTGAACTGAACTGATACATACATATGGAATCTAAAAAGGTGGTACTGATGAATTTATTTTCAGGGCAACAGTGGAGAAACAGACATAGGGAACAGACCCATGGACATAGAGGGAGGGGAGGAGGGAGAGGGAGAGATGTATGGAGAGAGTAACATGGAAGTTTACATCACCGTATGTAAAATAGATACCCAGTGGGAATTAGCTGTGTGACTCAGGGAACCCAAACAGGGGCTCTGCGACCACCTAGAGGTGGGGTGGGGAGGGGATGGGAGGGAGGGGACACGGCTGTACCTAGGGCTGGTTCTTGTTGATGTATGACAGAAAACCACAGAAATCTGTAAAGCAGTTATCCTTCAATTAAAAAAATAAATAAAAGAAATTAGCAAATGAAATTAACTTTAGTTCAACCTAAACTTGGTTGGATGTCTTCATTTTGAAGGTAGTACATTTATCAAATTAAATACAAACATAATGAAAAAATTAAAAGGAAAAAATCGTACTTTTCCTCTGCAGTAGATATAGATACTACTAGATATAGATAAAAACTACTAAGTTTTTACAAAACTTAGTGGATTCTAAAATAAACAAAAGCAAAAATAATCTAAAAAATTGATATATCTAAAATTAGGTGTTGAAAGTTCTAACTCTATTCTATCCTCTGTGGACTATAATCCCTAAAACTGAGCCATGCTGCTGTAATCACTTTAACTAACTGGAGGAAATGAGCCTATGATGAGACTACAGTTGTCAAAAAATAACTAGGTATAGAAAATGTTTTTGTAATATTAAATAATATTCCAAATGTTGAATATCAGAACAATAGGCAGGCATCATAGATCTCCCTGTCTCCCAGGTTCTTATGTAACCAGGGTCTTGCCTTAGTTTCAAGTGATCTCTGCTTCACCCAGAGATGTAAAAACACCAAAATTAAACAGTCTCTTTTGTTTTGATTGCATATAATATAAAATACTCCTAAAGCTTACCAACAAACCTAAGGCATATATTGAGATAACTCACAGACGAAGCAGACTTATCATAGCATCCCATGGTACCCCTGGTTTGCGCTGAATTTTACCTTTTACAGGATTTTATCACACTAACACTTCAATCAACACTTTTATTTAAATGTTATTTTCTAGCCTTCTTCCAGTGAATATTTTGGTGTCTGGAAGAGGAAAAAACAATTTTTGCAAGATAAAAACATCGGCATTTTCAACCAAATAAAAGATATTGCCTGTGGGGATTCTGTTGGATTTTATAAGCATAACACCATAGCTGCTGTTACAGGCAGTAAGTTAATGATTGAGGTTAAATTCAGGAAGCAGCAGGAGGCCAAAGGGGATCCTAGAGCCAGCTGGAGGAAGAGGTTGGTTAGGGAAGGTTTCTAAGAGATCATCAAGCATTGATAGGCAAAAGAGAGAGAGGAAGCTTCACTTCAGAGAACAGATGAAATAAAGACATAAAAGTAAAATTTAGTGCTATGGCATGTGGAGAAAACTATAAACAATTTGGTGGTGTTGGGGTACAAAATATAAGGCATAGATGAACAATAATGTCCTACAGCATAGCACAGGGAACTATATTCAATATTCTGCAATAAACCATAATGGAAAAGGATATGAAAGAGAATATATAGGTATATGTATGGCTGAATCATTTTGCTACACAGTAGAAATTAACATAACATTGTAATTTCTACTTGGCTTCAGTGCTTCTACTGTGTCTGCTGTTAATTGAAGATAACCAGCTGAATATAATCCTTATGGCAAAGAAGCATATTTTGGGGTGGCAAGTTCTGTTTCTCCATCACTGGTTTAATGTTCTGTTGTTGCTGTCTTGAAATTCTTAATAATTTTTGAACAAAGGGTCCTGTAATTTCACAAATGATGTTTAATTTGTGTATAAGAGTATGTATAAGAGTCATGCTGTTACACACCAGGAAGAAAAATAAACTTTCCATTTAACATTTATAATACCTCCAAGCCACCCAAAATGTTTGACAGTAAGAAAACTTAGATGACCTTTATTCCTATGTGTGACCTCATAGAAATGTTTTTATATTTTTTAATCTCTTGAATCTGGTTTGCCTGAAGAAAATTAAAAGGAGGAAAGCTCTTTAAATTATGTTAGGCTTATGGACCCCTGTGCCCCAAACTGGCAGAAATAAAATAGGAAAGTTACAGATGCTCAACTATAAATATTAAAGGATATTTTTATCTTCTTACTGGAAATATAAAAAGACTTGATCCACAAAGGTAATCGTAATATTTTTTAGTGTTATGATAGTATTGAGAATATAAAACCAAATCATAATTATGTACTATATGCATACCTATAAATAGCTTAGTCATTTTGTGGTCAAAATGCAAATACACACTGTCAAAGGGATAAATTAAACACTTCCTGGGAATTTACCCCGCTCTTCACATAGAAGGCAAAAAAATGTGCTGGTTGAAATGCTTCAGTACGCTCCTGATACTCACTGGCACACAGAGGAGAATCAGTTGATTTTTGTTTGCCCAGAAACCAAGTGTGAGAGACGCTTCTGGAAGTAACATCGCGATGGCTGCCCAAGGAGAACCCCAAGTTCAGTTCAAACTTCTTTTGGTTGGTGATGGTGGTACTGGAAAAACTACATTCGTGAAGCATCATCTGACTGGTGAATTTGAGAAGAAGTATGTAGCTACCTTGGGTGTTGAGGTCCATCCTCTTGTGTTCCATACCAACAGAGGACCTATTAAGTTCAATGTATGGGATACAGCTGGTCAGGAGAAATTTGGTGGACTGAGAGATGGCTATTATATACAAGCTCAATGTGCCATTATAATGTTTGACGTAACATCAAGAGTTACTTACAAGAATGTGCCTAACTGGCATAGAGATCTGGTACGAGTGTGTGAGAACATCCCAATTGTGTTGTGTGGCAACAAAGTGGATATTAAGGACAGAAAGGTTAAGGCAAAGTCAATTGTCTTCCACCGAAAGAAGAATCTTCAGTACTATGACATTTCTGCCAAAAGTAACTACAACTTTGAAAAGCCCTTCCTCTGGCTTGCTAGAAAATTGATTGGAGACCCTCACTTGGAGTTTGTCGCCATGCCTGCTCTTGCCCCGCCAGAGGTGGTCATGGACCCAGCCTTGGCAGCACAGTACGAGCACGATTTAGAGGTTGCTCAGACAACTGCTCTCCCGGATGAAGATGATGACCTGTGAGAAAGTGAAGCTGGGGCCCAGCGTCAGAAGTCTAGTTTTATAGGCAACTGTCCTGTGATGTCAGTGGTGCAGCGTGTTTGCCACTTTATTATATAGCTAAGCAGAACATGTGCTTAATCTTTGGATGCTGAAGGAGATGGATGGGCTTTGGAGTGAATGAGGCTGTTAAAAAAAAAAAAACCTTCATTTTTTGGACCTGCATATTTAGGTGTTTTGGAACACAGTTGTTTCCTCCTTGAGTTTCAAATATAAGACTGCTATAGTCACATGACAATATTGAGAGGTGGAATCTTGTTTGTTACTGTCATTCCCATTCCTTTTCGTTTAGAATCAGAATAAAGTTGTATTTCAAATATCTAAGCAAGTGAACTCATCCCTTGTTTAAATGAGCATTTTAAAACCGCTAACAGGGAAAGTTGTGCCATGTTACCATTTGAATTACCTTTGCTATTACCACTTAACTTGATGTCAGTTAGGTTAAATGCTCCTAATTTTTTGTATACTTGAATCATTTCACATAAACGTAATGACAAGTCAACAGTATTGTATTTGATAAGAGGTGTAAGTACTATCAATAGTTAGGCTAAAATAACACCAGCCCCACCTGCCTTTGGGCTTAGGTAGTGTCACCTAGGGATGAGATTTATGTGACCTGTCAAAGGTGGTACCTGTTTCAGATGTTTCAAACAAATATCTTAATTATATTTGCATTTTATGGCAGAAGTAACCATTTTCTAATGTAGAGCTTGTCAAAGTCCAATGAAATCATAACAAATGGTTGCAGGAACTTGAGGGACATCTCATCTGTTAAATATGAATATAATTGTGCATTTACTTTTTTGTTTTTTGATGTTACATGTTTAATGTAAAGTTGGCATTCTAGGAAGATGTTCCATGTTTACCTGCTGTTAAATACTCCCAAGCTTTAAAGGTTATCAAAGATTAAGGATTTCAATGGATATATCACAGCTTTGGTGATTTTTCTCTCCCCAAAGAATTTTTCTGGGTGGTGCAAGAACACCACAGGATGCTGCAGCATAAAAGTAGGTCTTAGGTAAGCCTCTCAGTGATGTGAACAGACTGCCAAACTTTCAGTAGATTAACCACTTAACATTGTATGGTTTCCACATGTAAACATGAATTGGGTCTGTCTTGCCTGAGTTTGATCTCACTGACACCATACTGTAGCAATTGGAAATCAAGACGAGCTATTTTCCTCTTGTAAGTACTACTGTACTATAGTTCAGTTTACCAAAGTTCTTTAGATGTCCAATTATCCTTAAATGATTACTTTCCTACCTAGAAGTAGGGAAGGATCCCTTTTTTTTTTTTTTTTTTTTTATCTCCAAAGGATCCTTTATTGACAGAGCAGGACCGTGGCATTTATATATATATAAAAAATGTATGACGATTTGGCAGGCAGTAATCCCATTGCCCGCCCACCACCCCTAGATTTTTCTGCCCCCCACCCCCACCCTGCACATGGAAGGGAGATGACTGCCCCACCCAGGCCACAAGGTCATATTCCCTTGCAGACAGCGGGAAATAGGGGATTTTCCATGGCCACCCCCTGAACATCAGAAGGATCCCTTTTAAGTATATGGAAAGATGAACTGTAAAGAGTAAAATTGGATACATTTTAATTTGTTGAAATATTGAATAAATATTAATAGATTCACTTACAGATTTGAATTGATGTATATGCTATGCTATATTCAGTTCAGAACCAGACTTTAACAGATATGAAGTTTCCCATGATCAGATGTAATCTTTCATTGAGATACATGAGGGATATGTATTTGTAACCTTATGTAGAATGCCAGTATGACTAATACTCTGAAGCCTAAATGTAACAGTAAAATTTTGGGAGCTACTTGGAGGTGGGAGAGAAATTGAGTCATTCTTGGAAGAAAATTGCAAAATATACTGCTTCTACTTTGCCTGGATTTTCTGGATCATCTGGTGTTAATTACCTTGTAGGGGATGCATTTCTCTGTCTAGTTCACACAAATGGGGAAATTTCCCCTTCAATTTCAAATCTGGTGTGTAATGGGAGGAGCCTGTAGTTGAAAGCCAAGTTGGTATTAGCTTATTAAAACAAAACTGGTAAAAGTGAACATAAAGTGTTTCTGAAAGCAAAAAAAAGAAAGAAACCAAGTTGTGAACAATGATTGATTCTATCTTAGAAGAAGAGAGGAAGCTGCTGGTAGGACACAGGCATTGCCCAAGAGCAGCAGCAAGGTCTCAGTGGTCAACCTTTGATTTCCAAACCACACTGACCAGTTTTCAGCACTATGCAATTAGGTACTCAAAAGTAAACAGACAGCTGCATTTTTGTTAAGGGATGGGTGCTAATCTTTTCTTTTGCATTTAAAGTAATTTAATGATGGTAGAACCAATCACAGAGGAAAAGAATGCTGAGACTACACTTCTACAGCATCTCTATGTACCTAATCCTCTTAGAATCTATCCTCAAATAAACTTATTATTATCCATGATGAAACATATTTGGGGGGGGAGGTGGGAGAAGGAACTACTCTTTTTCTATACCATGTGGATAAAATACTTCTCTTTGAAGAAAACATATTTAGATACAATGACCCAACTTACTTTTTGAAAGTAAGCAGCTTACAAGTCAAGGGAAGATAAAACAATGACTTCAACAGTGTTTTATTCACTATAGAAGTTATTTAAAGTTAAGTTTCTACAGTCAGGTAGGCCAATATTTACTAGTGATGTAGCCCCAGAAATGTTACTCTAAGAGTCATCCCTGGCTATTTATGTCCCAAAGAAAAGAATGCTTTAACCTAATTACAGATATTGTATATGTGCATATACATAGGTATAAATGTACATATATATGCATATATATATATATATATACACACACACATAAACATAGTAGCTGTGAATATTTCAATTTCTTCTGACTATGTTACATCAAAAGCATTGCTCAGTCATAGCTATTTCTTTACAATTTTATTCCCACTGATTTCCATATGCATATCCAAGTAGCATTTCTAAAGTTTATGTGGGGATTCTTCTTTCTGTTCCAGAACTTTCACCATTTACCTTAAAAATGCTACTCATTTAAAAGATTAAAAGCCTTAAGCTGAAACACAACTAGAGTAGAAATTCCTTTTGTACAACTTGGGATATGAAAGAAGGACTCCTTGCAAATTGATTCAAATCAGTCAGTTCTAAATATTTAAAACTATAGAATATATTGGAGCATTTAGGTCTTGAGATGAATTCATCCCATCATTTATTTTAGAAATTCAAGTTTCTCTGTAATCTCATGGCTGGCAAGTTCTAGTCTAGGACTTTTATCTTTCACTAAAGCTGGTAAAACTGAGCAACTTTCATCCTGAGTCTTTATGGGGAGTCCCTGCTTTCTGAAAAGTCATTTTCATCTGACATTTTCTCATTTAAACTTTCCATTAATAACTATAGTGCATCATACCATTATAGTGTTATGTAGCTTCCAAGTCTTTGAAAAAAATTTGTTTTGTTTTATTGGTTTAACATTTAGTGTTTTATTATATTTTGAAAATTACTACTCTGTATATGATATACTGAAATTCTTGATAAAGTAGCACATATTTGCTAATTAGGCCAGATAATAAAGAAATATTCTATTCTAAGAAATTATACAAGTCAAACACTCATTTTCATCATTTATGCTCAAGGCTAAGTTACATAGGCTATTTTCTTTTGGCCTCTGGCTCAAAGTTAATTTTAGTTAAATGTTGAGTTGATCCAGTTCTTTAAAAATCATTTTTTTTTAATTTAAGTAGAGTTGATTAACAATGTTACATTAGTTTCAGGTGCATAACATAGTGATTCAATATTTTAAATCATTTTTTAACCTATTTGTAGTAGAAAATCTCTATTGAACAAATTTTAAAACTCCACTGCAGAGTACAGAGAATTGGAATCAACCTAAAGATATATCTGTTCAATACCAAGAGTCAATATCTTAAAATACATCAAGTCTCTCTACTTCTATCAGAAAATAAAGCATGATAAAATGATTATAACAAAAACAGTTTGATTCAGGCACTTAGCAGAAAGACAGATTAATGTAAAAAAAATAGAATATAGAAATAGAGCAAAATAATTCAAGGATTTAGTAAACAACAAGAGTAACATTTTATATCAGTAGTAAGGATATGGATTATTTAATAAATTATATTAGAACAACAAAATACTTATCTGGGGAAAAAATAAAATGATTTCTTTTTTACTATCTACAACAAAAATAAATTTAAGATGTATTAAAGATTTTACTTTAACAAAAAATTAAAGGAAACACACAGGGCAGTTCAAGTTGCCTTTTTAGAAAGTATCATCTTGATTAGGAATAGTTTTTCTAATTAAGATTCAAAACCCAAAGTCATAGAACATGGATTCTCAATCTTGGCTGCACATTCAGTCAGTGCAGTCTTCAGTCACTCGGCTGTGTTCGACTCTGCGACCCCATGGACTGCAGCACGCCAGGCCTACCTGTCCATCACCAACTGCCAGAGTTTACTCAAACTCATGTCCATGTGTCGGTGATGCCATCCAACCATCTCATCCTCTGTTGTCCCCTTCTCCTCCCGCCTTCCATCTTTCCCAGCATCAGGGTCTTTTCCAATGAGTCAGTTCTTTGCATCAGGTGTCCAAAGTATTGGAGTTTCAGCTGCAGAATCAGTCCTTCCAATGAACACCCAGGACTGATTTCCTTTAGGATGGACTGGTTGGATCTCCTTGCAGTCCAAGGGACTCTCAAGAGTCTTCTCCAACACCACAGTTCAAAAGCATCAATT